TTATTTTCTAGCTATGATGCGCAATGGATGCATTATATGATGCATGCTAATGATGTGGTGTTTATTTTCTAGCTATGATGCAATGGATGCATTATATGAGTACATCTGGGATATCACAATATTAGAATTTCTTGTCTGTATCCTTTGAATTATGAGACTTGAATAGCTAGCATCTGCAACTCATGTTTTGGGTTATGTGTATCCACAGTCAGCTGGCGCAATATAACCCCAACAGATCGTATTTTTGTGAAAGATTGGTATTTTTGTCCTGATTTGTAGGAATCTGAAAAACACATTTCACAACTTGTCTCTTATTTAGTTTTATGCTGCATTCATTTTATTATCACGTGTGCGCCAGCTGACTGTGTGTATATCCATCAATCCATCCAACATCATTTCTTAAACAGGCCTTGATCTTTGATGTTTTATTGACCTTTAACTGATGGGGCCATTTTGTCCAAAAAACAAAATGTCATGAATTTATTGGATATACCGATACTTTAGTTTGATTTCATTCAAGTTTAATGTGATATCTCAACAATTCATATTAAAAAATATGTCGCCAACTACTACACCTGTATAACTACACCCTATAGGAATGGCTTGGTAAGAAACACCTGAATTTGTCCATGTTTTATGATCGAGTTAACCATTTATTAATTTGTCTGTGTGTACAATAAATGCATTCTGTAGGTTTGTCTTTATAGCCCTATTTGATTCAGAGATCAAAGAACAAGTAATTGAGGTTAACAATTTGTTCAGTTTACATTTATTCCATTTAGTGCATTAAAACTAAGATGTCACTGAACTTATTGCTATGACTATGTATATACGTTGTGATTAATTAACTTCTTTACATCAGATAACCATAACAAGCATGGTGAAGTTGATAAACAACAGAAAGCTGTAAGTTTACTATACACTGCATTCCAGAACTTATGTATGTGGAGTGGTATTTTAGAAAGAAAATTATAAGGGCGATGGTCATTGCAACCAATTGCATTAAATATATGCGTTCCATAGCAAAGCTATGGTTTTGTTCCAATTTTTATTGCTACCAATTGTGGTGCACGTACCATAAATCGAACATGAACGCTCTTAAAGAATGTTTATAATAATGCATTCCGCAGACTGTTTGGACTGTAGCGCTAGTAATATGTTCGTTACAAACCGCATTAATTTGTTTCTGTATATTTATCGTAATCTTATTTTTAAATTTAATGAACGTGGGCAGGGGTCGTCAAATCGTCTGCTTTTGAGTCTGTATAACTCTGGTATACAGTGGATGTCAGCACTTTTCCAACACTGAAAAAATCAGCTGTACTAATGTTTTCTCTTCTGTTCTGCTATGGATCTTATGATTTGAATTAAAAGCTATAATAATAATAGCAGTGTACGCATGTGTGTGCAATGCAGCATTGATACAAAATCTGAATTTACCCTGCTGTCACTACGTCCACCGTTTAAATTGTGTGTATAACAATAGATTTATTGGTCATGACTGAGTTTACCGTCCTCCAATGGGTGCTATTTCATGAACTCAATAACAACTTAATATTGAAGTAATTTTGGTCCAAGATGACTAATCAGTGCAAAATATTTTATATTGGTCGTTATATTTATGTTGTTGTGATTGTTTTTGTAATGATAATAACGTAGAAATTATATAAATACCATCAGAATCATCTACGTATTGATTATGACTGTTACGTATGAAATTTGATGTGGGGGAGATATTGCTGGTCTTATATGGGTTTGTCACCATGGTGCTTGACCACTGTCAATCCAGATATTAGACAGACAAATTTAAATAATATTGTATGTACTTGAAGTGACAGCCAACGTTGCCAAGGTGACTCTCGTCACTTGCAGCTGTTTGATTAATATAATAATTCAGAATTGTTCATCCACAGATGCGATGTATTGGAAAGCCAGAACTGAACTCCTTCAACCCAGAAGTGGTATTAATTCAGGCATCCCAGACACGGAAAAATAAGTTCCTCCAGGCCATGGCAAAACAATATCTTTAATATTACTCATCTGACAGTGTGTTGTATTTTAGCTGTATTGCTATCTGCATCTAACAGACACGATATTTCCAACTCAGGTGTATCTTTTTTTGCTCTCTTGCCCAGTCAAGGGATTTCTACACCAGTTTGCCTGGGAAGATGTACATTTTTATGGTTATTGTGACGATTATTGAAAATTATTCATGTTAAATCAATCATGAATCTAATTTGCATATTCTGTACAATGAGAATACATCAGAAATAAAATACGGCTTTTTGTACTTTATTTACTAAATTGGTTGGTTATACATTACTATTGCAT